TTTCCAAATAAGAGCAACTATGTTTTATCAGCTTTGAAAGAAATCATTCACTTTCACAAAAACTCACTATATTTTTTACACAGATATTCACAAAATATTTACAAACTCTTGCATTTTTTAAAGACTGCATTCCCTCAACTCAAGCACTCATTATTTCTCTAGACAGATAAAACAAGCCACATAAATGACAAAAGTCACACCACAAGCTTTTCCTAGGCCATACATAAACACCCATACAGACCTATCTTTTCTACAAGTTAGCAAAAATTTATCATAGGACATTTATTCAAAAGAACTGTGTTACAAGAATGTGATTTCTTTCAAGAAAACAGCAATGTACCTTCTAAAGCTGTTCAAGTAAAGAATTCACTCCTACCCCCAAAACCTTGAAAACTAAATCCACTTTTCAGAGTTGCAGACTGCTGAGAAACTAAGATGATCAATTTGAGACTGCTTCAAAGTGTCTAAACCCATCTATTTGTAATTTATGACCTAGCAGTCTGAACTATTAACTCTTGACACAAGTTTTAACATTTAATTAGAACATATCCAAGAAACAAAAGCTTCCAATGGAAAATATACTTCCAAGTAAGAGATGGAAACAATTTCTTTAAAGAAGTCTGTGTAGCATAAGAATTTCCATAATGTTCACATTTTCTATTAAGCTCTCTTACTGACACTTATTAAAAGCAGCAAACTTCAAATCACTGAAACTGCCTTACACACATACAACATGAAAGAATTTTCCACCAGGAAGTGTGCAACGTGTATTACATTCTCCTTTACGTTTTTATAAAACAAGAAGTGCTGTGCCTAAAACTGAAAGCATCTGTGGGTTATCCTCCTCTTTACACGTGCCAGTCTAGCTGTATCATTTTCAGACCAGCAAGACTTTCTTGGCTCACCTGTTTGGCTACTCTTCCTGCCCAAACATGCACTTCAGGCTAGCACATATTGCAGTTGACTTGTGTGACATTCTTTTTCCTTTCAACTTCTGCTACTGTCACGCTCATTTCCAATCTAATTCCATCTCACTATGTGCTTCATCCATCCTAATACCTGAGTCATTGGTAAATGTAATGGAAATTGCCCACCTGCTATCTAGGACAAAAACTTCACTGCAGGTGGGTAATGGGCAAAAACCCATTCTAATTTTCACTTGTGGGAACACCAGCATGGTTTGCAAAACAATCTTGCACAGATTTTGTGAAATTTTAACTTAGACCATGCTTACCTGCAAACTGTCGTGAGAACAGCAGCAAAAGCTTTTTACAACCTATCTGGATGGGATATATTTATCTTTCCTTATCCAGAAGACTTGTAAGAAAAGTTTGACAGCTTTGACAAAACACACGTCCAAATTCCAAGATAATTATTATCCATCTTAGTTTCTTCTGGTATTCATGTAAATTTTCACTATTTATCTGGGAAAGTTCAATCAAATGGTAGAAATTTCCCAAATTCTTTCCTTCTGCTGCTTAATTCTTGCTCCATGACTACTATCATCAGCACTCTCAAAAGAGTAGAGAGAGATAAAAGTACTTACAGGTTTCCTAAGGAAAAAAAGGGATAGTGCTCCAATTAGGGGCATATCTCCAATGAGTGGTTCCAGGATAACTCTCATGGTGCCATGGATCTGTAGAAAGGGAGGAAAAAAAAGAGACAATGGAATTGACTTTACTTCAAGTTTTAAATAAAATTTATTCACTGGCAATGCTCACACTTCTAATTCACTCAATTCTTGCTTATGGTGTAATTTTATATATATAGAATTACATGTCATCCAAACCCAAAAAGCTTCACACTTAACAGTTGGGCTTACAAATTCATTATATTCATCTACATGATGCTCTGTCATCTATGAAGTAGATTATTTATACAGCTCAATGTAAACAAATGTGGCACAAGCAGGTACTACAACAAAAGCAGGAAAATGCTTACAGATATGTCAAGATATAGACATGCAAGACAGCAGAATTTTCCTCCTTACAAGAGATCTGTTATCAGAAACTTAGGGAAATTTGGGGAACGATATCAGAAGGCAAGACTCATAGTAATTGCAGCTAAATTAGTAAGTCCATCTAACATTGAAATATTAAATAAAGTAAAAATGTTAATCTCCACTGTCCCTTTATGAACTGACACACCACATGAACATTGCCTTGATGTGAAATTATCTCCAGTTTTTCCCATAGAAAATATTTTATATTTAAAATAGTTCTATACTGTAAAGGAATTTATCCTTTCAGCTAAGTCATGTTACTGAAATTATTATATTATACCAATATATTATATTGGTAATATATTGGTATAATATATTGGTATATAAGAAACCAATATATAAGAAACGAATTCTTATATTGGTATATAAGAAACCAATATATATTATGCAACTGAGACATAAAAGTAACGAAACTATACAATTATTGGTTCTTTCTTATAAATTATTTCATCAGAAAGTAACGATTCAGTGATAACCAAACCAAAAGAAAAAAAACTGAATTTCACCTGTATACTTTTCACACCAGCTCTGCAGAAATATCTCTTGATCTCCAAATCAATTTCACAGTTTCCAACAAAACTAAACAAAAAAAAACCCACAACAAATTATACATTTCACTTTTGTGGACTAAAGTGCACTGTTAATTGTTTTACACTCTCATGACAACATATTTCATTGTCAATCTCAGTCCATGCACAAAAAATGCATGTTGAAACATTAGAAGCCAAACCAAATTTGAGTTCATAAAAACATCTCTACAAAACATCACCACTGTCACTGAAATCACTCAAATTAATACCGAGGCAGGTGATCATCTCCAGAAGCATTCATGAGAGGAAAATACCCAAGTGGCCTTACTTTGGAAAATAACAGACATGGAATTTATACTCAAGCTTCAGGAAAATTCTCCATAGATCTCATTGTTAGTATATGCACCCAAATCCACTTTCATCTGATATAATCATGAGAAGCACTAGGCAGAGATGGTTGTTATGCTAAATAACAAAGTTGTCTGAAATATTAATAGATTTGCAAAATCAGTCATATTTAAAAAGTCAGTAAGTTGGGCATGCTGTGCTGAGTGATCTTCTAAGCAAGTTTTAAGCCAAAAACATTTCAGCCCTTTCTGAAGGGAGAGAGAAGGCAGGAAGCAATACAGAGATTAATATATCAAAAACAATGCAAGGTTTTCCCTGAACAGTTCTTGCATTCAGCTTTTGGGAATGCAAGGTCAAGTGACTGAAATTTTGCAGATGCTGCCCTTTGGGCATGCTGTGCTGAGTGATCTTCTAAGCAAGTTTTAAGCCAAAAACATTTCAGCCCTTTCTGAAGGGAGAGAGAAGGCAGGAAGCAATACAGAGATTAATATATCAAAAACAATGCAAGGTTTTCCCTGAACAGTTCTTGCATTCAGCTTTTGGGAATGCAAGGTCAAGTGACTGAAATTTTGCAGATGCTGCCCTGCTCAGATTTGTCATATTTAAAAAGTCAGTAAGTTGGGCATGCTGTGCTGAGTGATCTTCTAAGCAAGTTTTAAGCCAAAAACATTTCAGCCCTTTCTGAAGGGAGAGAGAAGGCAGGAAGCAATACAGAGATTAATATATCAAAAACAATGCAAGGTTTTCCCTGAACAGTTCTTGCATTCAACTTTTGGGAATGCAAGGTCAAGTGACTGAAATTTTGCAGATGCTGCCCTGTATACCTCAGATTTGTAGAAGATGGTAAAAAAAAAAAAAAATCCCATCTGTTTTGTCCGTGCTACAAAACTAAAAGATTATTCACACGCAACTCAGGCTTGGATTTTAGCAGCCAATTTTCCTGAAGCTCCATCCAGGTCAAGTATGTACCTGCAGAGCTGAGCAATTTTTTTCCAAGAACTGCTGCTCCACTGAGACTCATTGGTCGTGAGACTCAACAAGGAATTTGGGAAGAAAGCTTGAGACTCTGATTTAGCAACTGAATTGGTCAATGATTCTACAGAATAAGAGCTAAAACCAAAACCCAGCAGACTGAATACCATGCTACAGCTGGGGAGAGACTAGCTAGAGGAGACTTGCTAAGAAGACACCAGTTGTAACAGAAGGACAAATGAAATCTGAAGAGCTTTCTGAACAGACTGCCCAGTAATAGACAACGGGAGAAGGAACCAAGTGGGGTGGAGATAAGGCAGCTTGAACAAAGCCTGACACTGCTGGAAGGAGGGGAAAATAGTTTCTTCTACAGGGCATCCTGTTCCAGATTCTGCAGCAGAGACCATGTTTCCTCACATTAGGTTCTTCAGACCTAGCAGTACAGTGGAATGCTATTCAGCTGTGTTTAGGAGTCTGGGGAATTGTGAACAAAATGGGGTTGCTCTCCTCATGGGCCATTTTAGAATCCAGTCAAGATGAAGTAAATTACTCCCACGGAAAGAGCAGAACAGCAGGACAACCACTCCCTGCCCCTGACACCTGATGGCCACACGGTACCCAAATCACCTGTAGCCTCCCCTGCTCTGTGTGTGTTGATGCTGTCTGTGGGATTTCAACAATGCAAATCCTATCACTCTCTTAAACAGAAATAAACAATAGTACTAAGACTTTCCTGTACACATCCAACATCGGAGTTTAATTTGGTCTACTCAAAAGGTAACACTATGCAGAGTCCAATTTGTTCAATGACCAGTTTGGGGAACTGGAAGACAACAACATCATGGAGTCTATGTCAAAGGAAGGTGACAGTTGCTTTCCTTGGAAAGAATGCAGTGTGACTGTGCAGTTTAAAAATAGGTATATAATTTTTAATACACAACTTAAAACGGTGTCATTTCTATTTTTAACCTACCTAACTATATATAGCAATAGTAGAGATAAATATAAATACACTCACATAGATATATATAATTGCATAACAACATAACACAGAGAAGCAAGGTCAATTAAAACCTGCAACTGAAACCTCAATCTTGGCCCTCTGTAGCATCAGAACTATTTGTGTTATGAAGACTGGGAAGAAATATGCTCATTTGAAAATCCATAACAACGTGATGACAAATTGAAGCAAAAATAGTAACAAACTGCACTTGAGGGCAATAAGTCAACAACTTTCAACCTTATAATAAACCTAAATATGGTTTTACCCCCTAAGATATTTGGCTGGGTTCATTAACAGTGGATGCTGTACAAAATTCCACTGTAAAGTAACCTACAACTTGAAGGCTCATTTAGTAAGCAAATTCAATACATTCAGATCATAATATCCCCAAAATATTTATGACCCCTGAAAGGTACAGATCCACTGAGATGGATTACAGTTTAATGAGGACACTCTTGTGAGAATATAACAGCAGCTGTACTGAATCAAACAACGAGCACAATATACAGCATGTGTCATGGTAGCCCAGGGAAAACACCCAGATGGCAAAAAAAAAACCCAAAAAAAGAACCAAAAGGTAAAAATACAACCAACAATAGGACAAAAGTATTTCCTATATTACAATGATATGAGACTGTACATGGACTATCTTAATTAATTCTTTTTAGAAGGTCTTTAGATCCCATTTTTACATGCATTCTGCCAGTGTAATGGTAGCAAGTTTCTCCATTCAAGTATACCAAATGAAAAAAAAACCCCAAATTTTTATGTGTTTAAGTCTCCAGCCTAAAGCTTTCTTTTAGTGCCTCAATTTTTTTGTGTCACGAGAAGGTGAGAAAACATCAGTTGGATGCTATTAACAATTATTTCTTCAATTTCTCAATCTTTTTTCGCTGTCTCTACTACAGTTCACAATTAAATTGACAGCTTATCTGGTTTTCTGTTGATCCATAACCTTTAATTCTCCCCAAGTATTTACTACATTCATGCACTTCAGCAAACATAAGATCTCCTTTTATTAACAATTTATTTACATTTTATCTTTATTTGCCCAAGTAAAAATTTTGCCCTTGCCCGTCTTTGTCACCAAGAACTAGACTTCTAAATTCTGACATGACCTTTGACAATTTTTTAACATTAACTTTTCCAGTGAGTACTTTGTGGATTAGCTATTCAAGCTGCTTACAGGAGTGAAGTTCTTACTTGAATGCTGAGTGATGCACAAGACCTGTTTTGAAAGGGTCTGAAAATATTCTGAAGCCATGATCATAATGCATTCAATATCCTTGCAGAAACAATAAAAACTAAACCAAAACACACTCCTTTTGCAATTAAAATTAAAATCAGAACAAAAACCCCCAAGGATGATGCAAAAAATACTTGAGTGTTTTGGAGACACATTGAAACTACTTAAATGTATGGAAGGTTCAAAGCAAACACACATACCCTGCCACAAACAAC